TAGGGTGTAGGGGTTTAGGGTCTAGGATCTAGAGCGGTCCTTTAAGGGATCTAGAAGGTGCTCTTTAAGGGATCTGTAAGGGTGCGTTAAAGGATCTATAGGGGAGTTTAGTTTCAGAAAATAGGGGACCCTAAATAGTAGGACCATTATAATAAGGACCCCAAAATAAGGTACCCTGATTTCTGGAAACTCCCATAGGGATCATTGAAGGGTTGAGGTCTTCTCGGGTTCGCTCCGGGGCTTCAGGAGTTTTAGGATGTGGCCTCTGAGAGGTTCTGCGGAAGTCTGAAGGGTTTGGGGTTTAGGGTTTAGGGTTTAGGGTTTAGGGGGGTTTAGGGTTTACGGTTTGGGGTTTAGGGAAACTCTGGACCCGTACTTGGAGGGCCGGAGGACTTAGTAAGTAGTTAGTGTATAGAATTATAAGTATCATAAACCCAATTAGGATCCCTATTAGGGTACTTATAAGTCCACTTACTACCACTTACTAAGTCCCCCGACCCTTTAAGTAACCTTGGAAAATCTTAACCCTTCGAGCCTGTTCGAGTCTCGACCTCTCTACTGTGCCAGAAACGGCAGATAAAAATACACCCTCGAACCTAAACCCCTAAACTCCAAGACTCACGAGCGAAATCTGGGATGTTATGAATCTAAGCGCCCACACATCCAGGTAATACACGTGCTTTAGTGAGGTTTAGGGGTACAGTATAGCAACTTCTAGGCACTACTGGTAGAAGGGTTTACTATTACAAGTCATTCCGACCTGCATATGACCCGACATGATCTCAGAATTCAAGCCTGCCGACGTTCGACATCCGCTTACCGGGCTCCGTATACCTAAGGGCTTGCTATAAAATCTTAGGAAAGGAGTGGCACGCAAGCCCAAGTCCTAAGCCTAAACCCCTAAACCCGAAAACTCTACAGAACTCAGCAGCCCTCTGTTACGCCTGTTTGTTTAGGGTTGAGGGTTTTAGGGCTTCCCTTTTCAGCACGGACTGAGGTGCCGGCCAGCGCCCATGCAACCCTCACCCTAAACCCCCCGCAACAGTAGCTAGGACCCTTTGGGTTTGTTATCCTGCCTTCACATAGTAACCCTTAAAGGGACCCTATTCTAATTATTAAGGCCCCTACATAAATCCCTAAACCCTACACCCTAAGCCCTTGTTTATCCTGCCTTCAGCCCGACTCCAAAGCCTCGCTCGTTGGCCATGGTGGAATGGTAGAATTGGTCCTGACAAAACGAACCTAGGTCCTTTTGAAGGGGCTCCTTAAGGTGTTAGGGATCCTGTAAGGAGGGACTAGCATACGGTCTCCGTCGGGTGGTGGGGTTTTAGGGTTTGGGGATCTAGTATAGAATAGGGTTTCCTTTAAGGGTTCCTCTACGGACTCCTTCAAGGGATTTAAGGCTCTAAGACGTGTGGGTGTAGGGTTTCGCGCTTAAGTAAGGGGGACGTGAGTACTAAGACCGGTGTTGAGAGGTTCGTACGATGAATGTACTAAGGCAGCCTCCTATACTACCGAGGTTCCGGAATATTCATGCATGATGCCCCCCCTGGATCCTAAACCCCTAGTCTAAAGCGTCGCTGGGGCAAATTTCGGCCTTAATCATTCGAACAGGGCTCCTTGAAAGGGTTACTTAATAAAGGTTATGATGGTGGGGCACTCTCAGCCTTAACGTACAGTGGCCTGAAATAATTCGAACAGGGTTTCGGCGATTATTATACTCTAGCGGTCTGTACTTTTATTAGGGGTTCTAAGGGAGTAGTACTGATAATTGATTTGGCACCTGTTATACAGCCCTCAAGTCTTCCGGGCTTTGATGGTCTAGGGTTCGTTCAGGACAGTCCGCGTTCGACTCCGTCCCTAACACTTCAGCTCAGGTCTCTCGGTTCGCAGTCGGTTCTACTGTAGACCTGAGGGGTAGGCCGCCGACAAGCACGAAACAGTCTAAGTAGCAGTTTACAAGGCAGTAACAATAGATAGATGAAGCACAAGCACGAGCTTTATCCCAGACAGGACGGCCAGCATTCCTCGTTGCTGCAAGGTTTTCCGGCTTATCTGCCAAACCAAGCACCAATACACCTCCCTGCAAAGATGCATCCTGAACCCTATATCCTCAAACCCCATAAACCATAAACCCTGTCATCCCGAACCCCTATAAAACCCTAATTAAAGGCAATTACAGGTGGGGAGTTTAGGGTATATAGGGCTTCTATGAGGCTTCCATAAGCTATATAGACCTTCTATAAGGCTCCTATAACCATAACTACCCACCTGAAAATGTCCTAGACCTAAACCCTACAAAGCCTAAACCCTAAACCCTGTAAACCCTTTTAAGCCCTAAGCCCTAAATGGCCAAAAAGGCGAAGCCCCTGCACCTGAACCCACTGCCCTAAGCCCCTATGAACTAATCCTTGCAACAACTTCCTCAAAGGAGAACTAACCGTCACTAGCCACTTTGCCCTATAGAGCCCTGATGAATTCCCTTGACTGAGTAAACCTTATGAAAGCACCCTACGCCCTAAAAAAGCTTATGGCGAATCTCCAGAAACTGTCGCAAGCGGTTTAGGGTTTAGGGTTTAGGGTTTAGGGTTAGGACAAAATCCTCTGCACCTGGAGCCAGAACTCAAGCCCTCCGTAATGTAGAGGCCTTAATGATGAGAATAGGGATTGGGGGTTTGGGTTTAGGGTTTAGGGTTTAGGGTTTAGGGTTTTGGGTACCATGATCATAATAAGGACCTCCCCCCACAAAGAGCATTATTAAGGCCATCAGTTATAGTACCCTATAAGGCGGAAGTCCCTCATGTACCCTTGCCGCTCCAAGAAGATCGGTACGACCACTGTGGGCACACCGCTGAGGATCGAGGCATTGAACGTCCCTGCACCGCCTGAGTATTTTTTGCAGCTTCTGGGCTTGGGGCATTTAAGGGTTTAGGGATTTAGGGTTTGGGGGTTTGGGGGTGTAGGGGTTTGGGGTTTAGGGTTTAGGGATTTAGGGTTCAGGGGTTTGGGGGTTCAGGGGTTTGGGGTTTCGGGTTTACGGATTTCAGGATTAGGGGTTTGGGGTTTAGGGTTCAGTGATTCAAGGATTTAGGGTTTAGAGGTTTGGAGTTTAGGGGTTTGGGGTTTAGGGGTTTAGGGAGTATCAGTAGCTTAGTGAGTATCAGTAGCTTAGTGCTGAGGCTTTTCGACTAAGGGTCCTTTGCTTCTGCAAGTTTCTGAAGGCAAAGGCGTAGTGCGGATGATAGCTGTTGGGTTCTGCCGACCATTGCGATGGGAGGATGTCTGAATACGGCCAGAGCCTTGTCTCACACCCTCCGCAATTTATGCGTTGTGTGTTTTGGTCCGATGAGTGAAGTGACGAGAAAGATTACTCGGTGTCGAGCTGCATGACTTCGGAGTGTTTGTTTAAAGCGGGCAGCCTACAGATGAAGCATAAACCCTGAACAGCCCTAGACCCTAAACCCCCTAAACCCTAAACCCCTAAACCCTAAACCCTAAACCCCTAACCCCTAAACCCCAGATCCTAAACCCCTAACCCCGAAACCCTAAATACCCTAACCCCTAAACCCCCAAACCCCTAAACCCCCAAACCCCTAAACCCTTTAACCCTAAACTCGATCAGCCCCAAAACCCTAAACCCCTAAACTATCAATGAAATGCCGAGGATTTGGTTGCCCTGATGGATCCTTCCTCAGCATCCCGACTTCAGCCGTCCATCTTCTGTAGGGTTTAGGGCTTAGGGCTTCTAGGGTTTAGGGTTTAGGGCTCAGGGTTTAGGGATTAGGGTTTAGGGATTAGGGTTTAGGGTTTAGGGTTTAGGGTGGAACCGCAAGAAGCTAGGAAATGCACTCCAAAGCCTTAAGTGCTGCTTGCATGGAATCACCGAACCGGAGTGGACAGGCTTCCGCTTCGCTGTGCTGGGCCCGTCTAGGGCTTCGGGTTTAGGGTTTAGGGTTTGGGGTTTAGGGTTTGGGGTTTAGGGTTTAGGGTTTCAGCAAAACTTAGGATATGGATATCCCATATAAACCCCCTCAAAGTGAAGCCTCACAAGGTAGGGATATCCTTATAAAATGCTTCTGCTTATGTCCTTTTGAATGGGTCCGTAGGATAAAGCCGGGGTTTAAATTGATCTGGTTCAAGACACGACACTCTTTCTGGTCCTAGTGGGTTGTGAACAAGACCTTTCCATGGATAAGGCTTTGGATTTAAGACCAGATGCTTCAGACCAGGTTGAATGAAGGGGCATGTAAGTTGATGACCAGTGTACCAAACATCCTCGGCTTCCGAAGTGCATGTCATTGCTATTCCTGGCCTGAAAGACATGAAGGACGGGCCCTGAACCCTAAACCCTAAACCACTCGGTGAATCTTCAGCTCATGCCGTGTTGCCGTGGTGGACAATGACTTTGCAGCGGGGGAAAAGGACACCATGCGGTGCAGTGTCCATGAAAAGGACCTTCTCTTTGCAGTAGGCCTCGCAAGCTTAGAAATGTTTCTGGAGCTACGTCCATGATTCCGAGCTTTTAGGTTTTAAGCTTTGGTTGGTGCTCATGGAAAGCAACCGTTGCAGGACACCAGTTTGGGTGCTCCTGTCCATATTGGGGCAAGTGCCAAAACAAACTCTAAACCCTAAACCCCTAAACCCTAAAGAAACTAGAAGGAAGGACGTTGGGAAGCACTCGGCTAATCGCTGAGGGCTGTCACCTTTCGGATTATTTGACGGACTCCGTTCTGTTGTGTACAGCTTGCTATCGCTGAACTTCTGCACGATTTACACATTTATAAGTGGCTGACCTCTAAATCCCTCGCCGGGGCTGAAGAATCAAAACCGCCGAGCCCTGTGTTCAAAGCTAGGTGTGCCACAGAGTGATTTTGCTGTAAACCATGTACCCTGAACCCCTTAAACCATGCATCCTAAACTTGCCCTAAACCCTGCCAGCCCTACCAAACCCCAACCCTAAACCCTAAACCCTAAACCCTAAACCCTAAACCCTAAACCCCGAACCCTAAACCCTAAACCCCCGTGCCTCAAGCTCAGCAGCGTCCGGCTCACCCTCGAAATTTGGGGACATCTTGGCCCAGCCGCCTTGTGAAGACGTAAACCTGACCCCGTAAGCCCTGAAGCCTACTTACCCTAAACCCCTAAACCCTAAACCCTCGACCCTAAACCCTAAACCCTGAACCCTAATTATAAGTTATAAGTGGAGCCACACTGTTGATGATATAAATCCTGCATTACTTCCAGGATTCTGAAACTATGGGAGTTATGGCATATTCCTAATGATGGGTAATGCAGAATTTGTATCATCATCCGCAGTAATGGTTCTCCTGCTTGCTGAGCCTCGCCTTCTCTAAGTATACAAAGATCCGAGTAGTAACCATCTAAGCTTTAAGATGTACCTCTCTTGTTCTGCCCCAAAGCACGTCTCTGGGAAAATGCTCTTTGAAGGGCCTAAGTTCGACATAATGTAGGAGCCTTAATAATTAGAATAGGTTTGGGGATTCCTTACTATAGTTATAGTATAATCTACACCAAAACCCTAGTCTAATTATGAAGGCCCCTAAACTAAACCCTTATAGTATAACCCTTATAGGAACCCCTTTAAAGGAAAATCGTGTAGGAAATTAATAAAGCCCCTATATTATCCATCGGTCCCCAAGCTGACTATTTGGCAAGCTCTTGCTTTCACCCCCAACGAAGTCTGCCCTATACTCGAAAACCCGGCCTGAAGCCCCTAAACTTCCCCTTAATCCCTACATTGCACGTAAAAAACCAGCCTAAAACAAAAGCCATGCACGGCACTCGGACCTTTAGGGGAAAGCTTCGCAGGTATACTTGGGGGCTCTGTTTACATAGGCGGTTGAGGAATTATGTTTGCCAGTAAGTGCCGGTTATAACGCAGCCTACAGGCCCTAATGCCCTAATAGCAATATTCCGCATAACTTCTCTTTGGAGCGTCAGGTTCTTCGCGTTCCAGGGATTCTGTTGAACCCTAAGTTCGGCAACTGGTTCCGGAAGTTTTAACAATTTCAGAACTTTCGGTTTCGGATTCAGGCTTGTTGAACAACAGGTAACAGGTAACAGTTACGAGTGAGAGGCTAATATAGGGGCCTTCATAATTAGAATAGGGTTTTGGGGCCCATTATACTATAAACCCTAAACCGATTATAATAAGGAACCCCCCCCCCCCCCAAATAATATTGGTAATTATCTACGCTTGGATATTAAGGCGGCGGTTAAGGTTCAGGTTTCAACCTTTTTAGGCTTGCTTTTTTAGGGCTTCGTGGGCTCGCAGAACCGGTTAAGGGTTTAGGGTCTAGGGTTTAGGGCGAATTAAGCTGTTATTCGAAATCAATCCACCCTGACCGCCAGCTTGCATCCGGTTTCAATCCTTTCTTGATTCTGAATATCAGCTAAACCCCACTGCTGCTTCGTTGCTTAGCACAATGCCCCTCTCGCCAGTCGCCATCAGCGCACGCAGGCTCAGAAGCGACATGAACTTGCCTCACATTCCGCGAAAGCCAGTCATAAATCTGAAGCCCTAATTCCGAAACATAAGTTCCACGTCTCAGAACCTTCCTAACACTCAATTGCGAAAGGTTCGCGTTGTTATACCCTATACCCTAAATCCAGAGTTTACATGTGGAGGCACGGCTTTCTCGGCACACAGGCCCATCGAAGCTTATCTTACGGGCTCGGAGACCTTCATCGTAGGGATTCGGTTTAGGGTTTGGGTGTCGGTATGAAGCGCATCTCTTTCCATTGAAAATGTCCGGTCGTAGATGGGAGTATGGTGCTGATGCAATGATTCACGAACGACAGGAGAGTGGAGAGTGTCTAGGAGAGGCCGACAATAGAGAATCCCAGCAAGTTGGAACATGGATTAGGGCGATTAGTGCTGGGATCCCCTATACCTCACCTTCAGGGCATGAGGAGAGTGATGTTCCAACTTTATGGCTTCTACTTTAGAAGTGCAGAAACAAGCAGCTGGAAGGTCACAAATACGGAAGCCCCTTTTTGCAAATTGAGAGACCATCGTCCCACACAGATCTTTGTCGGAAACCGCTCATCCCTAACCCGAAAATCTAAACTGTAAGCCCAAAAACTAAAAATCAAAACCCTGGATTTGAGAAAAAATGGTCCTAGAATCGGAGGTCATAGTCATGGACTGTAGGGGCTCGGAGTTTGATGCTTCATTTCGCAGCTTGCTATTGTGACCGGTTGGAGTTTAAGTTTAGGGTTTAGGGTCTGTTAAACATCTTTGTGGGTTGACGGAGCTATCTCCCTGACAGGCTGCCCTCATGTGCTCTTGCTCTCGCTCGCTCGCTCTCTCCTTTTGGGCTGGTTGTTAGGGTTTAGGGTTTAGAGGTTTAGGGTTTGGGGTTCAAGGATTAGGGTTTAGGCAAAGCAGAGGGATGCAGGAACCACTTTCCCGCACGCGAATAGCACGAAAGAACGGCCACAGGATACGGCCGCAGAACCTAATCCAAGGGATCCTGATATAGGGGCCTGAAAAAATCATAAATAGCGTTTCGGGGCATATTCTATAATAATGATAAGAAGAAGAATGAACCTTAAGAAGTAACATGGAGTCTTGTTCAGGCTTCTATCGAGTTTGGGACCACTGTTTTCAGAAGCCCCAGATGTCAGGCAGTTGATGCTAACAAGCGGCCGTTGTTGCAAGTCATCGAGCCTTCGATGGGAAAGGTGCGTGCAAAGCCTAAACCCCAAGCCCTAAACCCTAAACCCCCCAGCCCTAAAGCCTAGACCCTAAAGCCTAAAACCCTACGACCTACACCCTTAAACCCAAAGCCCTTATGTAACCCTAAAACCCTAAACCCTTACACCCTAAGCCCTTAAACCCTAAGCCCTTAATCCTAAAGCCCTAAACCCAAACCTCTAAACCAAAGCTCTGTAAACTCCATGTTTCCAGAGCTGCGGCCTTGGAGCGTTTATATGGCTAGTGCTCTAAATTAGGGTTCCTTTTTGGGTCCCTAATATAGTACGGCACCCTTATTACAAGGACCCCCAAATAAGGTACCCTAATTTTCGGAAACTCCCATATAGACTCACGGTTTAGGGTTTAGGGTAATCTTGAAAAGGAGTCCGCCTACTTGGAGGGTCGGGGGACTTAGTAAGTAGTTATTTTATAGAGTCATAAGTATCACAACCCCAATTAGGATCCCTATTAGGGTACTTATAAGTCCACTTAATACCCACTTACTCAGTCCCCCGACCCTCCAAGTACAGAGCCCTAAACCCTAAACGCTATGTTGATGGCAGCCCTCTGAGACAGGCGCCTTACCAATGAGAACAGGGTTTTGAGATACACTATAAGTACTATAATTAGGATAAGGAATCCCCCCCCAAAATAGCATTGGTAATTATTTAGGCTCCTATACTACTTGGGTTTTGATGTTCTACAGCAGGATTTCGGTTTTCGAAGCTGCAAACGCGGGCATTGACGATTGCACGTGATGTGGACATCTTGAACGCCCTGTGCAACTGTTTCAAGGTTTAGGATTTAGGGTTTAGGGTTTAGGGCTGCGTACACCAACAACTCCAACAGCTTATCTGACTCCTGCCCTTTTCTAAACAGTAAACCCTAAACCCTAAACCCTAAACCCTAAACCCTAAAAGGCTTTAGTGGAGCTCGCCCGGCCAAGTCCCCTCGCAGCACATCGCACTCGTGACGAGATGCGATGTGCTGCGAGGCTAAGTACGCACAATCCTCATTATCTTACTGTCGGATACGCAGTTGAAAGATTTGAAGAACTGAAGATCCTGGTAGATGGAGTCATGAAGCCGATGCCTCCTGCCCTAAACCCTAAATCCTACACCCTAAACCCCTGCAATAGAGAGGACCTGAGGATGTCCTGTCTTCCCATCAATTTCCACTAGTCCGCCCGGCTCCTCCGAAAGCCGTCTGATCCCTGAACCCTGACCCTAAACCCTTCCGGGACCCTTCAGAACCTATATCTTTTTAAGGACTTAAAACAAATTAATTATGAACAGGGATCCTGGAACACGGTAGCTTCTCTAGCGTCTAGGTCCCCAGGTATAGTTTCAAAACCCGCGAACCCTAGCCTTGCACAAAGATTTCGGTGACAAGAAGCCGTAGCCAATGTAAACCGGCGCGTCACCGGCTGCAAGGAAGTCGTCCATGGCCTGTGTCTTGAGGCTGGAAAACAGAGGTCTCAGTTTGGCTTCGTGGACCTCCAAACCCTAAGCCGTGAACTTAAGGTACAGAACCACACTGGGGATCCTCAAAACTACAGTCAAATAGCGTTCCTGCATGGAGCGATGCTGGGCTCTCGACGTATTCCAAACCTCCGCACACCGAACCTTTTGCTGTAGGCTTGCAAGCAAGAACGCCTGGTAGGTAGCCACTCTATGTCCTCGTGACAGAGCTCCCACTCAACCCAAACCCTAAACCCTAAACCCTAAACCCTGAAACGGAAACCCCACAGCCTGACAAACCCCACCACGCTAAGGTGTAGAGCTGCTTGTATTTGGAGGCCCAGGGGACTTAGTAAGTCGGTTATAAGTAGGGTTATAATTGGGGTAACTCCAGTTAGGGCACTTATAACTCTACTTATAACCTACTTACTAAGTGCCCTGGGCCTCCAAGTAGGGGTTCAGAGTTCAACAAAAACCCTAAACCCTGACCCCTAAACACTAAACCCTAAACCCTATAAACACTAAACCCTAAACCCTAAAACCCCTAGGGAGTTCAACACCCTTGGGGGGTGCCTTGAGCTCGGTGCCGCCGAACTCGGGACCGGTTTGCCTTGGGACCGGGGTCTTCGGGTTCTCGGTTCAGGGTTCAGGGTTTAGGGTTTAGGGTTCAGGGTTTAGGGTTTAGGGTTTAGGGTTCAGGGTTTAGGGTTTAGGGTGTAGGGTGTAGGGTCCAGGGTTTAAGGTTTAGGGTTTAGGGTTTAAGGTTCTGTACATGGGGTCATTGGTTTACCTTAAGCCACCAAAGCCTATTTTTTGTAGGGCCCCTTTAATTTCTATATTAGGGGTTTATAAGAAGGACCTACAAACAACTAGTTTATGGTAGCCATAAGGTAGGGTTCAGGGTTTAGGGGCAGGGTTTCTATTGGCTTCAGGGTTTACGGGTTTAGGGCTACCTGTTGCCATAGGACGCACTTCTGGGACTTCGCGTTTAACACATGCAAGCTGCGTGCACAGGTCGTGGAAGGGACTGCGCACAACATTTGGGGGAAGAGAAGGAATCCAACTACAGGACTCCAGGCTTTGCATAGATTGCAGGGATTCGGGTTTATAGGTTTTACCCTAAACCCTAAACCCTAAACCCCTAAACCCTAAACCCTAAACCCAAAAGCCTAAACCCTTGGGGTTTCAGGATTTTGAAAAAGGTTTCCGACATGCAATGAAGCCTCAAACACACTGCATTTGGTCAGAAGCGGAAGATCCTAAGCTGGCCTCAAAAATGGGGCCCTCCCCCTTTGTGTGGGTCTCCTCTGAACCGGNNCCGGTTCAGAGGAGACCCACACAAAGAGGGTTTAGGGTTTAGGGTTTAGGCCTTGGGGCTTGACAGCAACCAGAAAGACTCAGCTGTTTGTGCTTTCGGTTTGCCTGACACTACCATAGCGCATAGCCGACTTCTTTGTGAAATCGTACTAGTTTAACCCCAATACAGACTTTATCGGGACCCTGTGAAAAAAGTAGGGTTTGGGAGTTTTTTCCACGCCATGGCTTTTGAGAGCTTGACTTCTGAATGCCTTGTGCAGGAAGGGCTCAGGAAGCCCCCGAGCAGTCTCCAGGAGCTTGTTCGGGGTTCAGGGTTTGGGGTAGGATTTAGGGCCTAGGGTTTAAAGTTTATTGTCAACAAGAAACCCGAAATCCTAAACCCAGAACAACAAAATCGAAACTAGAAAAATGGGGGTTTCGAAAATAGGGGACCCTAATATAGTACCCTAAATAGTAGGATCCCTATTATAAGGACCCCAAAATAAGGTACCCCTTATTTTCGGAAACCCCCAAATGGCACCGAACTCTCCAGTCGGGCGAGCGTCTTTAGGGTGGCATGGCTCAGGGCTGATGGGGCTGTTTCAAAGTGTCTTCAAGCGCTTCTTGTGTCTCCGGGCGTATACCCGCCTGATATCATAGAGGGGTTTAGGGTTTAGGGGGGGACGAAGCCGTCATGCCGTAGCAAGCTACTCTAAACTGAGACAGAACTTTGTCTTCCATGAAGCAAATACGAAACCCCACCTCTCCACGGCACTTTGACCTCAAACTTCAGAGGGCCCTAGTTAGTACTAGAACACTTCAGAGGGCCCTAATACTAGAACATAGTACAGGGGTAGCTATCTTGAAGAACTCTAGGGGGATACTATTACTTATTCCCACTCCCCTCAACCCTTTTTTGAACGAGGTCTCTCTAAACCCTAAACCCTTTTCTTATCCACAGTGCCGAACTAACACTCCCACACGCAAGTAGACTCCCGAATCCCATCGGAAACTGCGCTTTGAAAACCACCGTTTGCAGGCATACGCCACATGAGCCGTATAGCGTTTCGGGTTTAGATTTGGGGCTGTAGGCCCTGATCCCCGTCGGACCCGTAGCACACAGGCACAGGTCTCAATGGTTCGTCCACTTCCTTGCCTTCTTCACGCTTTGGCGCAAACTGTTAACAGCTTACAGCTCAAGGGTTAGGGTTTGGGCGCATGGATGGGTTTAGGGTTTAACGTGCATGGGATAGCATTTCGAATTTTTGGCCGGAGATATGGATGTCATCTCGACGCCGGAGCCGGGTAGCGACAGGGACTCGTCGAAACCGGTCACCGCAACCCCCAAACCCCGGAACCAAACCCGGAACCTTCACCCTAAACCCTAAACCCTAAACCCTAAAGCCCTACAACTTCGGAAACCTCAGCAGCCTACGGCCCTACGACCTGAAACGACCTTCCGACTCCTAAGCCCTACAACCAGACCTAAAACCCTTAACTCCCCAAACCCCTAAGCCCTAAACGCCCTAGACTCCTCTAATATAACCCCTAAACCCTGTAAACATCTCGAAACCCTTAAACTACCCTTATAAACCCTAAACCCTAAACCTTAAACCCTAAACCCTATTCAACCACAAGGATGTCAGGGAAAGGCGCTCCTTTGTATCCAGAACGAGGGCGCCCAGGGCGTGAACGTTGCTGTTGAAGTCTGGAGGCCTCTCAATTGGGGTCACAGGGTTTAGGGTTTAGGGTTTAGGGTTTAGGGTTTAGGGTTTTGGGTCCCCAACATAGTACGGCACCCTTATAAAAAGGACCATACAATGGACTAAACCCTAAACCCTAAACCCTAAAACCCTAAAGCCCTAAACCCTAAACCCTAAAAACCCTAAACCCTAAACCCCTATTTTAGAACACTACCCATGTCTGGAGGCCTGGCGGCTCTTCTTGAATGGAGGGCTTGGGGGTTTGAGGGCTCAGGGTTTCTAAAACCCAAAACCCTATAAGCCCTGAACCCTAAACCAAAACCCTAAACCCTAAACCCTAAACCCTTAACCCTAAACCCCAAACCAAAGACCCTAAAATTGGGGTTTTGGGTTTCTTTGGAGGAGCCGTGCTGCTCTTTGGAGGCTTGGGGATCTCGTTTTGACACCTCTTTTCCTCGGGCAAAGGGTGGTGATCGGAGTGCCGGGAGGCTTGAGGTTTGGGGTTTAAGGATTCTTTCTGGGATTAGTTTAGGGTTTAGGGTAGGGCTTTGGCTTTATAGGGCCGTTTGGGATTCAGGGCTTGTGACTCCTTTCAAGGCTCCGCTAAGGGGGTTCTAACATATGCGTTCTAAAAGGGTTTCTACTTGGGTTTAGAGCTTAGGGCCTAGGGTTCCTTTCCGGACTCCCCAAGGACCCTCTAACAGAGCCCTTTTTGGTCTTAATAGTGGGTATGCGGGGTAACATTCAATCGGCAACATGGAAAGCACTTAGAACATAGTTGGGGGGGTCCAGATAGGTAGGGATTTACGTCAAGGTTTAAGATATTATAGGGCTGTTGAAGTCTGGTGGCAGGGGCGCATGGAGCGTAGGGCTGGCGGCAAGCAAGACCTCAGCATGGAGAGACCGTGCTTGAGAATTGGGCGTCTTAGAGCATGGCGTGTAGGCGTGCAAGGTCATCGTTATTCTTCTCCTTGTCTTTACCAGTTGAGGAGGTTGAAAATGTGAGGCAAGCGCCGAGCTTTGTAGAATCTGGGGTTGTGAAGTTCTGTTTGCTTTCGGCTTGCAAATTTGTAAGGCTTTGGGGCAGCCGGGTTTCAGTCTAGAATCTACGGAACCGTTGGATGCAACGTGTGCTTGCCAACTTCCCTAGAAGCAGGCACAGACCTGGATAGCTAGTGCCCCAGATCTCATCGTTCTGTGACACGAATGAATGATGATTCTCGTTGGTTGGTGTGCGTAGTGGGGCTGTTCCCCTGGAGTTTGGGAAACTATCGCCACATCCTAAGAATCTCAAACGGACAACTGTCGCGACGCATACACATACCAAGGCACGGGATATTTCGCTGAGCAGCTGCAGATGTTCAGGAACTCCTGGACACAGCGGGTATATACCTACCTTAAACTACCATGAGTACTTTTGTGAAGGTTCTTGTTCTAAGCCCCGATATAGAATTTCTATGGCCTCTATAACAAGGTAGGTTTTGGCAGTTCAGGGGAGGTGATACGCACATCTTGATGTCTCCTCCTCTGCCTTCATCTCTCTTTCAATTCTGCGCCTACACGCCCTGCTGCACGTTGGTACCTTCTGGGTTCTCATAGAACAGGCGACCGCATGGAATAGTACAAGAGGTTTCGGGCTTTGGGGGAGTAGGACTCAACGGGATCAATTACAAGTTCACTCCCGGATGGTGCAAGAACACCCAGGGCTCCGTGCTTTAAGTCGGGATGACAGGGGCAAGGGTTCTGCCAACGCAAACCCAACTGGGCCTGGCATCGATACACATCACATGACAAGCCGAGCCTGCCGTGGCAAGCCCGATCGACGTGAGAATCTCATACATCAGGACTTGCAAAAGCCCAGCAACCTCTGTGTCTATGCATGGAAAACAGTTGCGCAACTCCAGAATCTTACACGAATTTTCCCAAAGAGCCCAATATCAATACTCCTTAATCAAGGAAGATAGCTTAAATCAACATGTGAAGCCCCTGATAAGTTAAGGCCTATCCCTTGATTAAGGGGTATTGGGCTCTCTGGGTGAAGGTTGACTGTTCAGTCTTCCATAGTCTCGGGACTCACGCAGCGGTCTCTAGCGGCATATAACTACTGAACAGAAATTTCCGGAGTAAGCCTGAACCCTCTCAACCCCTGAACCTGAACCGCGAAACCCCTAAACCCCTGAACCCTTGTAGAGTTCTGAAAAGAACACGTCAGGAACAAAAACTGTCTGTTAGATCCCTAAACCCCTCCCTTAAGCCCTAACCCCCAGACCCCTTAGAGGCCCCCTACTTGGAGGTCCAGGGGCAGTTATAAGCGGGGTTATGCGGAGGGTAACCATAATCATAATCCGTATTGAGGTGGCTAGTAATCGTACTTATAACTATCCATAAGCCGCCTTTTGGCTATAGTAATCGTACTTATAACATCTTATAACTATCCATAAGCCGCCAAGCAAGTTAGTCCCCCAGGACCAATACGGCACCTCCATAGTGGGCGTGAAGTCCTCTTTGGGCATGTGCATCAACTTCCTCGGCCGACTACAGGGCTTCAGGAGCTCCTTTAAGGGTTCCCTTCAAGGGGTGGTTGGAATACAAAGGTTCGTTGGACGAGGTTCTGTAAGGCCGTCTACTAGGGTTTAGGGCTCAGGGAGTTTCTATGGGATTCAGCGGGGTTTAGGGTTTACGTTTTGGGGTGTCGGGGTTTTGGGATCTAGGGCGTCATAAGCTTTATAGGGTTTTTTGGGGGCTCAGGGTTTAGGGTTCGGGGTTTAGGGTTTAGGGTTTAGGGCTTAGGGTTAGGGTTTAGGGTTTAGGTTTAGGTTTTAATTGGGCTTCAAGGCTCCATGGGATTCACGGCTTGGCAGCATCAACGTGGGCCTGGGAGAAAGAGGAGAGGGGACACTTGTAGAAGACAGAGCAGCTTGGCTTGAGCCGTTTGAGTTGGGGTTTTCTAGACTTTCTCGGGGTTTTTATGCGATTCAGAAGGTTGGAGGATGTGGATTTAGGGTTTCAGGGTTTCAGGATCTAGGGTTTCATAGGGTTCACGGGGGCTCAGGGTATTTAAGGTTTGGGTCTAGGGTGTTACAGGCCTCAGGGTTCCATGGGATGGTTTAGGGTTTAGGGTTTAGGGTTTAGGGTTGTTTGGTTTAGGGGTTTAGGGTTTAGGGGTAGCATCAACATGGGGTGTGGGAGCAAAGGGAGCAAGGACATTTGTAGAAGAAAGGAGCAGCTTGGCGTGAGCCATTTGGCTTTAGAGTCTAGTGGCCGGCTTTAGAGGAAGAGGTGAGCAACCTGCAAGCAACCTGCCCGCTCCTCCTGCAAAGTACTCAATCACATCTGGCAGGCCTCCCAGAGAACCCAATACACCTTAATTAAGGAATACACCTTAAATCATAATACTAGGGACCCTATAATTTAAGGTATAGTCCTTAGTTAAGGGGTATTGGGTTCTCTGGGCTCTGTTGAGCTCCTTCGCTGCATCCAGGATAGCTCGTGCAAAATGGGATTCAGGATAGCCGGGTAACGGCCGTCCAGGTACCCAGAGAACCCAATACCCCTTAATTAAGGAATATACCCTAAACTACCCTAAACCCTAAACCCTAAACCCTAAACTATAGGGCCCCTAGTATTATGATTTAAAGTGTATTCCTTAATCAAGGGGTATTGGGTTCTCTGGGTACCGTTCGAGCCCAGTCCCTTTTGGCGCCAGGGAAATCACCGACTCCCAGATTGGACACTGTGATGTCCCGGAGGATAAGAGCAAACCCTAAACCCCTAAACCCTAAACCCCATAAGCCCTAAAAACCCTAAACCCTAAACCCTAAACCCCTGAACCCCATAAGCCCTAAACCCCATTGGTCGGCTTCTTCATGCACTCTGCCATGGGCTTCCTCAAGGCCGCCCGGCTTCTTCCCAACACCTCCGCGGCCTCCGCGGCCGAGCTCCTTTCGTGCAGTTGAAGTTCCACTTCGAGCTGATCTGAGGCTCGAGGTGCCGAAAGAAATGCATGCTCAGAGAGCCCAATACCCCTTAATTAAGGAATATACTTTCAACCATAATAATAGTAAGCCCCTTATAGTTTAAGGTCTATTGCTGAATCAAGGGGTATTGGGCTCTCTAGGTGGTCTGCTCTCCTTGTGCTCCTCCCCCAGCCCTTCCAGGAGCACAACACCCACGCTTCCTCCCCTTAGCTTGCGATGCAAAGGAACACCCGAGATCCTGTCCTCCATTCGAGGCTTGCGAGAGCAACAAATGGGGGTTTCAGAAAATAGGGGACCCTAATATAGTACCCTAAATAGTAGGATCCTTATTATAAGGACCCCAAAATAAGGTACCCCTTGTTTTCAGAAACTCCCAAATGATCCAAATGCATTTGTGTTCAATGTTTCCTGGCTCCGGGGCGCGCGGCGCGCATCACACGAATCCTCCACACATACTAAGGCGTCAGCGGAAAAGTATGCACCGCACCAAATTTGCAGCATCTGCTGCAAATAATGGGATGCGGGGGGGGCAAAGTTAACTCTCTTTACTCTGAAGCAGGAACACGGTACACTTGTTAGGAAGCCGTCAGGTACTATTCCTACTTGTTCAAGCCGCCGTATTAAACTCCAGACATCCCCCAAACCCCAAACCCGGAAGCCTTAAAGTACTACTGATTATTTGGACCCCCCAAAACAGCGAAAGTACCAAACCCTGGGCCTTAAGCCCTACCTGGACCCTAAGAAACCTACATTTTTCGGGCTCCTTATTAAATTTTACAAGGTAAGTTATTCAGGATCCGATAATATACAATGGGTTAACCCCCAAAAGGGGCTACAATGCAGAGTATAGGTAGCCCTACAGCATTCAAAGGCCCGAAGCAGAAGTCGAATCGAGGGACTCAATGATCGGAGCCGAACTCCTTGGCGTCTCGGAGTTTGGTGCTTCGGGATAAGGGTTTCGGGTTTAGGGTTTGGGGTTCCGTTTTGCATTTCAGGTTCCTGTCGTGGCTCGCAGGCGGATTTTCTCTCTAGCTCTGCATACGTGTACACTGTCTCCGTCTGTCTGCATCATCTCGCTACATTGTCAAATCGCCAGAGATGTACAGAGCAAGCACAGAAGGGTTTAGGGTTGAGGGGTTTAGGAACCCTAAACCCTAAACCCTAGGGGTTGGAGGTTTAGGGAGCGGTAGGAGTTTGAGCACCTCATGTCCAGACCTCAGGCCATGTGGGGAACAGCCAGCAAAACATGCCTGTGCTGTGATACGATGATATGAATCCTGCAGTACCTTAAGGACCCTAAACTATGGAAATTATGGTATATTCCTGATTTATATCATGTACCGTATCCGCGAATCCTGGACTGCACGCTTTTTGTACTGTGTCCCTGGGTTCCCAACCCCTTAACCCCGACAGAACCCCAACACCCTAAACTCCAAAACTCTCAACCACAAGAACCCCACACCCCAAACCCCCAAACCCTAAACCCTAAACCCTAAACCCCCAAACCCTAAACCATACATCCTCAAGCCCCAAACCGAAGATAGCTCGTTGACGCGGAGACTCTCCAGAAACGTTGGATTCCTTCCATGAGGGTCTGCTTACAATAACGATAAAAACCATAATCATAATCATAATAACCATAATAGTACGAAGAAGCCTGGTATTTATACGAATGATACTAATACTCATACTAATAATGCGGGGAATACATGTAGTATTTATTCAAGCCCCTATGATAATCGCTAGTATGTAAACAAACCCTAAACCCTAAACCCTCTGTAAGAACCCTTGGCTTCCAAGATGAGGCCCACTGACTCCGCCGACAAGGCACTTGTTCAGCTCATTGGCGAAATGCTCGGTAAGGAAGTGCCAGAAGCGCAAGTTCATGTTCATGAACCTAGGGTTTAGGGTTTAGGGCCATGCCCGTCGAGCTGGTGCTTTGTACTTTCAGGTTACCGTCATAAGGACGTTCATAGGGATCCTAATACCAAGGTAGGAACCTGATTAAGAAACCCTGGTCCTATAAGTCTACAAAATTAGGATCCATATGGGGGTTTCCGAAAATAGGGGACCCTAATATAGTACCCTAAATAGTAGGATCCTTATTATAAGGACCCCCAAATAAGGTACCCTAATGTTCGGAAACTCCCATATATAGAACCCTGTTCAATACCCAAGGTTTCTCAATCAGGTTCAGAGTATCTACGGTTAGAAGTATGGGCCCCTAATATGGACCCTTAGGCCTTTCTAGGGACTCTTAAGGGTACATATAGGGTATATAGTAGGTATATCAGGAGCCCAGGCTTAAAGGCCCATGATAGGGGCCCATGGTTTCAACCTAGTAAGTAGTTATTTTATAGAGTTATAAGTATCATAACCCCAATTAGGATCCCTTTTAGGGTACTTATAAGTCTACTTATTACCCACTTACTAAGTCCTCCGACCCTCCAAGTAATCGGGGGTCTGCAATCGCAGCTGAGCCGCGCCGGCAGCTTCGGGAACATGCCGAACGCCGCGAGGTGGTTGCTTGCAATCATCACCTGTTTAAGGTTTACAGGGATTTTAGGGTTTAGGGTTTAGGGTTTAGGGCTTAGGGGTTAGGGGTAAGGGTTGAGGGTTGAGGGTTTAGGGTTTTAGAGTTTAGGGTAATGGGTATGGGGTTGGAGAGTTGAGGGTACAATACATAGGGGCGTAGCGACAGGCATGCACATGCTTGGAGCTTTAGACCATAAGTTTTTGTCCGAGGGTTGCCATGATGATTTGACTCATGTCCGGCATGGTTTAGGAACCCTAAACCCTAAACCCTAAACCGTAACTGCATCACTGCAGGGCTTTGAGATCTGAGAGCCGCTCAAGTTCCCAAACACACGTCTTCTCTTCGCTGCATAGATTTCGTCGAGGCAGATTCTGTCGAGCTTTGGAACCATCTAAACTTCGGTTTAGGGTTTCAGTATTATAATCAAAACCCTGAATTTATAAACTTCGGCTTCGAAGTTTGCGCTCTCGCAACTCGCACAGAGCGAGGGTTCAGGGCCTAGGGGTCTACTTCTCTGCAAGAGAAAAAGGAAGCCGTCTAGAATTAAGGGTTTGGATTTCGGGCGTAGGCAGTCGCTGGACCAAGAAAGCAACCAACGATTTTCTGAAACTTACCCTGAACCCTAAACTCCAAACCCTATACTCTAAACCACGTGAGTGTTCTTTTCCCGGCGGAACTTCCAGACATCCTCCGAAACCTCTTCTGACAACTCCCCCAGTTGTCCCAGGGTTTAGGATTTACCGGTTTGGGGTTTTGGGGTTCAAGGTTAAATATTCAGGACATCTGGAAATACGCTAGACCATGCAGCCCAGCACGCACAGCAGTAGATGTTCGGATTTGGGGTGCGCCCTAACCCTAAACCCCAAATCCAAACCCCTAACCTTTCTAGGGTGGGTGAGGAAAATGTATACGACGACTACGAGGGATATGGTCCTGAACGGACAGGATTATTTGATAAGTTTCTCAAACCGCCAGCCGAACACAGAATTGCATGGCCTGCCTGCAAGCCCAGGAAAAGCACGGGCGTGTTCAAGGCAAGCCCCATGCACAGGCAGTCCTTTGCGCTTAAGCTCTAAGGGTTTAGGGCGTACCTTAACCCTATAAAACCTTCCTTTTTCAGGCTTCCTTATTACCCCTAAACCCTAAACCCTAAACCCGAAAAGGTAGGTTCCTTGGGGCCCAGGTAGGGTTTAGATGCTTTTGCCTCCCACCTAGCGAAGTCGAAACCCGGCTTGCCGGGGGGGTCGGCCGAATTCCTGTTGGAGCGCGTGCTATGGGTTTAGGGTTTAGGGTTTAGGGTTTAGGGTTTAGGGCCAAGACAATCAGCCTCAGGCACTGGGTCTAGCTTGCTCCTCAAATTCCGGTGTAGATTAAACACATGGGTAGTTGTCAAAATTATGGTCCCTTTTGGGGTACCCTAAATAATAGGTGCCGTATTATAACAAGGACCAAAAAAGGGACCATAATTTTGACAACCACCCACATGTCAACAAGAATTGGGACTCAGGGTTTACTGTATACTTATTCTAGTAGATAAAACACATGTCAACAAGACTTGGGACTAAACTAAGGGTTTAGGGTTTAGGGTTTAGGGTTGACAATCTTGGCTGACTTCTGGAACCCTCCTAAAAGTTGAACTCTTAGTCTCCCTCTATAGTTCACATAGAAACCCAAAAGGTTGAAAGTCCTAAGAGCCAACCAGAAGAACACCAAGCAGTGGTTTAGATTATGACGTGGTAGTCCTTGGAAATACCTCTCCTCCAAGAAGCCCTCCGGCCGGTTCCAATCTTGGAAATCGGGAACCCTACATGTTACACCCAAATGACAAGTCCATCATTGCTCACTGCTCGAAGGGAGGCAGAGAAGGAAATTTATTGGGGTCTGATGGTTAGCCTTGTCTGTCATTTCCCCTATGACACAGAAAAGAACCCAAAGCCTGTAATCCAATCCAAAACCATAAAGAATAAATTTGAATTACACCCTAAACTCAGCCCCTTCATCTTGTTTAGTCCCAGGGTCACAGATGACCAGGTAACAGCCGATGATGAGATCTGGCTGGAAGTTCTTGAGAACGGCCGCCATCCTACGGTTTACGAGTTGAGGGTGGTGTCCTTCTGAGGATCTATATCTATCCGAAACGCATGTCATGTAGGGGCACGGCTTCGAGGGTAGGTCTTTGTAGCTAGTGCTCAGTGCTTGGGATCTGTGGCTTGGAGTGGACTGGATTGGGAAGGCTATCGGGGCTGATTTCAGCTTTAGCTGCACGTTTCTTCAACCCATGTTTGGGCAAAGGTTAAAGGCTACAGGATGACCAAAACTAAACCTCCCGACCTAGGGATTAGGGGTACCCCCTTAAAGGGTACCCCTTCTGAACCCTACGTTTGGCTCTCTTAAAAGGGACCTTATTGAGAGGGTCTATAGCCCCAAGGGTCCCCCTAATCCTAGCTCCCAGGACCTGAACCACGGTTTAGGGTTTAGGGTTTAGGGTTTAGGGTTGGGGTACAGGGCCTCATTTCTGACTTGAAGTAGGGCTTCCGGGTGACGGTCATACAACGGCAACGTATCAAACAAAACAGTTGGCTCCATTTTCGATCTTTATTATGGGTTTCAAAGTGCAAGGGCACAGCACCCTAGCCCCTACAGTACACCCGAAGAACAACTTTGAACCCTAAACGTTGGATTGCATTGCTCTTAGGGAGGTGAGACGCTAAGTGAGGGTTCATGGCTGGATAGAAGTGTTTGAAGGCCGTATAGCCTCTTGAGCTACAGTGACACAAAAAAGTGGGTGGAGGTCAGAACTACTCGCGGGTTTACTACCGCGAACCTGAAATCCTACCCCCGGACTTTTTTGTGGGTTTTGGATTTAGGGTTTAGGCACTGAAAACTCCTAGCGGGCCCGGGCCCGACACCACCCTAAACCTTTAACACTCAGCCCTTAAAGACACCCAAAATACCCCAAACCCTTAACCCTCAGAGCCTCAAGCCCCATGCAGAAACCCACCGCAAACCCTTACAGAACCCTTCAAAACACGCGAAGCCCACGGCCTTGAAAGCAGGAGCAATAACCTAAACCCTAAACCCTAAATAACCTATAAATACCTTTGAAGAAACCTTACACTTGGAGGTTCATGGGTACTTGGAGGGTCGGGGGACTTAGTAAGTGGGTAATAAGCACACTTATAAGTACCCTAAAAGGGATCCTAATTGGGGTTCTGATACTTATAACTCTATAAAATAACTACTTTATAAGTCCCCCGACCCTCCAAGTAGTTATAAACGGGGTTATAATTCCCCTAATATGGGTTATTAGTATAGTTACCCTACTTATAACCCCACTTATAACTACCCATGAACCTCCAAGTAGTATCCATTTATAGAGATACTAAGCCCAAAGCCTGTAACGGTTCAGGGTTTAGGGTTTAAGCCCAAGCCTGAAACCCTAGAAACCCTAGATGCCTATCAAAAACCTGCAAAGCCCCCCAAAAACATCACGGGAAATCGTGGAACCCACCCTAAACCCTAAACCCATACAGAAACCCTGAAAAAACGGAGCGCCCAATCCCAAAGCCCAACTAGGCAAAAACCCAGAGACTCCCCCACCCCTCAATCGATTGAGAAAACCCTTCAGTCATAGTCTGATACGGATCCCTCAATAACTTAGGGAATATATATATATATATATATTAACATATATATATATATATATATTCCTAAACAGAAGAGGTTTCGGGGGTCGCTGGAAACCCGACACTCTCAAACCTGCATCTTAACCTTTGTGTTGCATCAGGACCTGTGCATCCAAACCCCTAAGCTCTAAACCCTAAAACGCCCTGAACCGCCCTTTCTGCCGCCTTCCGACGAACTCAGCTCGGAGGGGGTCTTTCGTTGCGGTCATGCCTTCAGTTCTTGTCTTTTTGTTGGCTTAGGGTTTAGGGCTTGAGGGGTTTAGGGTTTAGTGTACAAAGGTTGTATACAGGACTTGGCAGGGTTTTATCGGTGTATGGAAAGGTTCCATGGAGAGTTTTAGTGGGCTTTCTAGCCTGCCAAAAGGTAAGTCATAAGGGTATAATGAGGATACCTTATTTCACAACGAGGATCGAACTGTTGAAGGTCTGCCTTGGGTTACCCTTTCTCCTCGAACTCCGTAAGTTTGGAAGCCCTCTTTTCTGCTAGCATAGTCCACAGACAGAGAAAGAACAAACCCTAAACTGTAAACCCCTGAACCCTAAACACTAACTTCCTTCAGGACCATGCCCGATTTCCGAAGACCACCCCATGAGCCAAAGATGAATCAAGCTAGCTCTCCAGCCCAGGTGCACTCCGTGAGCTTGAAGAAGTTGTTGCTGGTGTATGCCTAGGTCTTGGGGGTCAAAGATGATCGGAAATAGGACTTGTGTGTCAGGGAAGCTAATCGCAAGGTTGAGTTACGAGCTGCTTGCCTTTAGACGTAAACCAGATGATGTTGCGGGTTAAATGCTGCGCGGCTGACTTGTCTGAAGCATAGCTCAACACCACCCTCATCCCAAAAACTAGAACCGCATCCCAGTGTGGGGTTTGCTCCAAACTAGGGTTCAAAGCAACCAGCACATCGCGGGTTCGGACCGGTGTGGAGAAGGAACCCAGTGTATCATACAACGCGGAAGGAAATACTCCTGTGTGGAGGGGTTTGCTTCATATATTTTTACGTGGTAGCATTTCGGTAACATACCGATTAGGGAGCATGTCTCGAAATCCCGAATCATCTATCTGGCATGTGGGTAGTTGTCAAAATTATGGTCCCTTTTGGGGTATCCTGAATAGTAGGTGCCGTATTATAATAAGGACCCAAAAAGGGACCATTATTTTGACAACCACCCATGCGTTGGCAACGGCCCTGCAAAGGGGTCGACTTCACGGGTCTTGCTGAATCTTAGAGGCGGGGAAACTATGCATTACGTCGGACGACTGGCCGCCGCGGTGGCCATGGTTATGCTGTTTCAACGGGGGAGCTTGTGATAATTACTATGACCTAAACCCTAAACCCTTATGAGTGTCGTCTGGCGCTTATAGTAATAGGCCCGATATGCAGCCTGTACAGAACCCCTCCCAACACCTCGTAAACACCACTAGACAAACATTCTCCTACCGCCCATCTGGAATGATACTTAAATCTATACCACAGCCCTATTCGACTAATTACGATTCGGGCCTTTACTACACCACCTAACTGCTCAAGTTAAGGACTTAGGGGTTTAGGTTAACGTCTAGCCCAGCTACCCCTTACTGTACAAGTATCTACCGTTACGGACCGCAAGGGTTCTATTAAAGGGTACCTGGGGGGGGGTCCTAGTACGCCATAAACCCTACGCCCTAAACCCTACACCCTAAACCCAAACCCTAAACCCCTAAACCCCTAAATTCTAAACCCTAAAACCTAAGCCCCTAAACCTTATACCCTACACCCCCACAAGGCCTCAGTGAAGGCCTCGGATTGGCACACGGCCTGCATGCAAGGAGGGACCCAACGAAGTGCATCATGACGGGGCTGTAAAAGTGCTAAGAGCCAGCCAAAAGAACACCAAGGATAGGGGGATGTAGAAGCTAGCCATTCAAACTTCGCTGTTTCGATACTACACAAAATAGAGCCGAAACAAGACACACCCAAATACCACGGAAAGGACCCAAATACAACGAGAACGACCCCTAAACCCTAAACCTTAACCGATGTTACGATGTCCTTCGTCGATTCGTGGTAGTGGAAAGAGCAGGCTTCCGCTTCCCGAAGCTCTAGTTACACAGCACGGAAAAGGATCGGTGCTTTAGGGTTCAGGGGTTTAGGGTTTAGGGTTTAGGGGTTTGGGGTTAGGGTTTTAGGGTTTAGGGGGTTTAGGGGTTAGGGTTTAGGGCTTAGGGGGTTTAGGGGTTAGGGGTTAGGGTTTTAAAATTTTAGGGTTTAGGGTTTAGGGTTTAGGGGTATAGGGTATATACATCAGAAGGGTGTCAAGCGGGCTTGGATTGTATGAGGGTTTTGAAAGAGCTCAGGAGGGGATTCGGTCGCGTTCGGTTTTGCTGCTAAAGCCTTCAAAGTAATCCAACGGTACTGTGGGGCTCAATTTTCCAGTAGGTTTCATCACATCAACTAGTCTGAGTACACACGCATACATATATATATATATATATATGCGTATATATATATATAGGTATATATTTTTTTCTTCTTTTTGTTTCGAGGCCTTCGGTGGGATACGCGGCACAAAATATACTAATGTGCATCCGGCCGCAGCGATCTGAGTGGCACTGCATACGGGCTTTGCCAGAAGTACTTTGGACGGTCGTGAGTGCCTTCTGTTGTGTGCGCTTCACCGCACTGGAGGAGGTCGTATCGGTAATCAGGGGTGTTGCGGTTCGGTTCG